AAAGGCCCAGTCACACTGTGTTTTGAGGCGACGGGAAGAATTATTTCTCTGGTGTTGTTTATCACTCATGGGCTGTAATCAGCGCTCATTTCAGAGTGGAAGAATTACCAGCTCGCTAAAATGCAAGAGAAATTGAAGGGGCAGAGTAGAAAGGGAAGAAAATGTTTTTGTCTTGTGCCACTCTTCATAAATGTCTTTTTTTAAAAGGGAAATTGTACACCGATTTAACTAAAGCTGACTTTTTTTTTCCTCTCTGGAGCCAATAAGCACAAAACATTACTGAACATTACTGAGTTCCTGAAATTACTAGGGTGACAGTCACCACGTCTTGAAGTCATCTTTCTGCTAAAGGCGAATTATCAATTTTCAGAAAGTAAGGTCACTTAAGAAGAAGTTATAAAACCAGTGCTGCTGACATCATCTAAGTACCGACTGGGTCGTAACCCTTAATGGAAAATATTGTTTGATATTTTCCTCTCATTTCCTGGTGCTAGCAGGGGCTCTTACACAGGCAATAAAAAGTGTTTGTTCTTGCTAATTGCTCCGAGTGGATGAATGTATTTCAAGACGGTTGGCTAGACGATATAATTTGCATCCCACGTCGGAAAGAAGTTCTTACATGACGTTTTTGTGACTTTTCTCCTCCTGTGTCATCTCCCCTTTATTTACATGTCTCACCAGTCTGAGTCCCCACTTGTTCACCCCTCCACCCTGTGTCTCATCCTTCTCATGCTCCCACCTCTTTCTTTTTTTTCCATTTACCAAATTTCTTCCACCCCCTCCCTTTTTTTTTAAATCAAACATCTTTCCTTCTGTGTGGCATAATTCCCTTTCTTTCTGGCCGACACTAACACAAAAAACTACACGCATTCCTTTCCCATGAAGCCATGAGTCAGCCTGTGCCAGATACCCCCGTGCACTGTATCTTCTGCTGTAACAGTGACTGAGAGACCGAGTGACAGTATGAAAGAGAGTGAGAGACGGGCGGAGGAGACTCAGACAGACAGCGACACGGCGGCACAGAATGAGGAGAAATCGGCATCTTTGTGACAGTTAACCTTATGAGCTTGGAGTCAGGACAGCCTGAGCTGGCAGCTGATGGCAGACCGCCACAGCAGGCCCACGGTGCGACCCATCTGTGCCTGGTATTAAAGCAGGCTCACACCCCAGGGCCAGAGACACCATGCCGCGTAATAGCTACGCGGACATAGGCCCAGTCCTGAGGAGGCCAACAAGTCACCCACTGGGATGACAATGGCAGCTTGGTTTACACACACACACACACACACACACACACACACACACAGAAAAACTCCCACACATGCACTAGAAAGACAAGAAATACACACACTGGCTGGAATGCTGTAACTTACATGTTGCTCTGTGTTGCAAAAACACATTAATGACACTTTTCTACACGTATGACTGAGCACATAACACCACTCCACCCTCTTCTTAAAAGCAGTGTGATACACATTTGGCTGTGAGCTGTGTTGTTTTCCCTCTCTGCACCTATTTGAAGCTCCGGCTGGACATTGTTCTGTGTTTACATCCTGTTGTGTCGACCGCTGTGTGAGTATGTTTTGCGTTTGTCCAGCTGTGTGTAAATGTGACTGTGTGTGTGTGTGTGTGTGTGTGTGTGTGTGTGTGTGTGTGTGTGTGTGTGTGTGTGAGGGTCAGAACTGGAGCACAGTAGCGATATATATGATCCCAGCTACAGTGGTAGTTTATCTATTCTCAGTGTGTATTTAACCGACTGCTGGATGGAAGACAGGCATCAAAATGAAGTGGAAAAAAAAGGTAAATTTCGGAAATAGCTGCAGGCAGCGATTTAGTGTTGTGGAGAAGGTTAAACAGACTAAAAATGATAGCCTAGCATGAACTTTATGCCTATGGCAGTATTACACATCATAACAAGTGGTGTCAAAGTGATATAAGTTATTTAAATGTTTAAAAGGGATGGCAAAACACAAAATCATGTATTTATGAAAACGTACTTAGTGTTTTCACCCCAACTGTGTTGCCTTGTGACGATCACCAACAGGAAGTTATATTTTACTGGCATTACTATATGATAAATATATAAAGTACACATGTATTTGGCCTTTTCTTCTCTAAAGTCTGCAGTTATTCTTCTCTGACTCTCGGCTGTGCCCCTCCTAACATGTAGCTGTGTTAATGGACATCCAGCTCCAATCCAACTTTATTTATGTAGCACCTTTCATACAAACATGCTGTCCAAAACTTAGCATGGACCGCATGGCCTAAATTGCAGACAGTCCAGTCAGTGACATTATAAAGAAACAAAATAAAAATGTTGGACTTCCTTGTCTGGATTATAGTAAGACTCCAATCACACCCTGATATGTGTAGACCCAAGGAAGAGTCGTTAGTACCAAATGGCTGATGGGGATTCAAATAAATAAATATATAATAAGCTAATGAGGCTGTTAGCAGCTTGAACCCAGATGTACCCCTTGAGCTTTAGAGTTACAAACATGATTTCATCCACACATTGTACAACAAAATGACATGATAGCCTACACTATTTATCTGATGTTTACGAAAGTGAAGCTATATGATGTTCAAACCTGGTATGTGCTATTTTTGGAAACTTGAAACATAAAGTAGCATGTGGTGGAAAACAGTGGTTGAATTTAACTAAATACTGACACTATACTACAGTCTTGAAGTACTTTTACTTGAGTATTTCCATTTCAGATGACTTTAATCTTCTACTCCATGACAATTCAAAGGGAAATATTGTACTTTTTACACCACTACATGTATCTAAGCACAGCTACAGTAACCAATTCCATGCAAATATAAAGACTGTACATACAAAATATGTGATCAGCTCCTAAATCATGATGCCATGTTATAGATTAATCCACCCAACAACATAAAAACATGGCAGCCAACATCGACATTTTGGCCAAATACAATAGCAAAATGCTGCATCAGTGATTGCATGACATTGACATAACATAACATATCATAACATAACAGGGATCATGTTTCTGTTTATTAGATGGTGTTTTCATCAAACTGGACCATCTATGCAGTATACATACTTTTGAAATTTGTGCTACATGACCAGAGAAAACAGAGGGAAACGGCTGTGGCATTCGCCTCTGCTCAAGAGGTAGAAACCTACAACTACCAGAATACACTGCACCACACTGGACCAATAAACTCTGCTGCTGTTGGTTTACATAATGCAAACTTTGCTTTTTTTCCCCCCACAGGAAACAAGATGGCAGCCGGCTGGTAACTACAATTTGAATTTACAGTTAAACAGAGCACTAAATGTGACTATTCTGACCATTATCTAGGCAAGAAGTAGGGAGTCACAGAATCTTGGTTCATATTTGATAGCACTGCTTAGTTTTAATGTTTGAGCTCAGCCTCTATTTTACAATGCAAGAAGCAGTATGGCGCCCACTTCCTGTTTACAAGTTCTCATATAACAAATATGTTATTCAGGACATTTTAGGAAAAAAAAATAGTCAATACAATGACAGAATCTTGGTTTATATTTGATCAGCACTGCCCAGTTTTACAGTTTGATCTGAGTTTGAGAGAGGGAGAAGCAGGTCGCTCGCTCTTGATCAGCTTCTATACTCTGGTGGAGACCATACAAACATACAAAAGTACAATCTGTAGTTTAAGCAACAGCCCTCAAGCCAAGTGTATTGTACATACTGTATGTTGTGTTATTTTACATCGATGCCTAGAGTCAACAATGAGCAGGGAGATCTGTGCACTGGTAAGATGGAGGGAAGTTTACCACATTTCATCTACACATACAACCAGCACTATTATGATACAAAGCTGGTTGAAAATCAGCAAAGTGTCGCCTTAGGTATTTTTGATGCATTCAAGTAGCCTACTTACACATGTTTACTTGGGCCTGATTGACAATTTAATTTAATTTAATGTGTTAATTTGTAGGAGTTTTGTTTATAATGGAGTATTTTTACAGTGTGGTTTTCTACTCTTACTGCAGTAAAGAACTTGAATACTTCCTCAACCACTGTGGTGTACTTCTTCTATTACATTCATCCAATTTTTATACCAGTTTAGTATCAAGGGAGGACTAGAGCAAACAGGGCTTGGTTGTAATCTTTGACAGTCAGAGTTAGATGACATAAAACAAGTTGGGCGCCAACCACTTGTTCACAGATCTTTAAATCAGACTAAACAGATGTGAATTAGCTTGAAATACAGTTAGATCTGTAAAGCTTTCACTACCACACTACCACAGGGGACTTGACAACAGTTTGGGAGGACTCGGGGTGTTTTCCACACATGGTCCTTTTCAGCCCCCTTCTGACTCAGCATTTTTTGGGCACATGTGAACACTCCAAAAGAACTCAGACCCCTCTTGCTTCAAGTCTGCCGTGCAGTTCACCTAACCTGTGCCTTGTGAACTCAATGCTCTCCAGGTTCGCTTTGCCATTGTATTTATCCCTCTAGATCACATGCTGTTGCACTGGGACGCTTGAAAAACAGATGAAACCACGTCGGCCTGTAACGCTTGTAAGGACACAGGAAGTAGTTTGGTCCATGGAAGATGCTGCACGTCTCCAGATGTGGACTGTAGAATACATTAAACAGCAGCAGTCTACAGCACAGAAACGCTGAGGTTTCCCTCCAGTTTAAGGTTCGTCTGACAGCGAGGGGGCTTCATAACCGCACTGCAGTGTTATGTCAAAGTGAAAACAAACCTATACAGGCTATAGTGTGAACAGAGAGAGGACTGAGGCCCCATCAGAGCTGGCGTTGACCTTTCAAATGAACTGACAGTGTGAACACAAAAGGAAACTGAGTCCCTTTTATGTTGGTCCACTTTTGGTTCCACTTTAAGAGGACTGAGTCCGGTTTGTTTCAAAACGACTACATGTGAAACCCGCCCCCATGCCAATCCTCCCAGCCCCGCTGACCCTCCTCTCCGCCTGTTCCTCCTCTGACCGGTAGAGGTCGCAGCCTAGCAGCCGCTGTGCCCGGGTAACTCATGGATGTATCCGAGCGCTCCCACATGACAAAGCTACAGCGCGTCTGGAAACCAGGAACGGAGCACGGACGTTTTTTTGGTGTCGGGAGCGAGAAACCGTCGACAAGATCCATTCTGCATCTTTTACCTGCAGCTCGGCTCGGCTCGGCTCGGCTCGCTTACTAACAACTTCAGTGACCGGTTTTTTAATTTCTTGTGATCAGAGAGGCGGGCAGCTTCCCTCTGTTTCTCCAAGTGAACTTTATAGGGATGTTATATGAGAGCATCACCGCGCTGAATGCCCAGATAGTGCTTGAGTAAAGTGTAGGACGGATGTGGAGAGACTCCTCTTCTTCTTCTTCCAACACTACTTTTTGTTCGGTTTAATACACAGGAGAAAAAAGAGAGGGAGTGTGTGCAGGAGAGCGACACAGACACAGACACAGAGAGAGAGAGAGAGAGAGAGAGAGAGAGAGAGAGAAAGAGAGAGAGAAGTGGCACAGGTTTTTTGGAGCTACGCTTTCATGCCGTCAGTCTTGCGGACTCTGAGATGGACGTCAGATTTTATCCAGCTCCCCCTTCAAGCGTGGGTTCATGTACGTTACCGACTGACTCTGGTTTGGACTATTACCACTCCAACAAGGTAACAATTATCTCCACTTTACGGGCTTTACAGTCTGCAGCACTGGTGTGTTGATGCACGCGCGCACAAGTCCGTTGCACACACACATGGGGCCATGTATATGACCAGGCGCAATGTGCAGGAAGAGCATTAGTGGCGAGGGCTGCACTTTTAGCTCCCTTGGGATGAATTAAGCTTGACGTGAACTTTGTTGTGTATCTGATGTGCAGTTCAACTCTGCACAAGAGCACGCGTGACACCTGTTCTGAGCTCGTGCACGCCTGTTTTTTTCCTTTAATTGCAATCTGCTTATTTGTTCATGTGGATAAACTGTGGGTGCGTTGGATACTGTAGCTGTCCTGTGAGTTGGAGCGCACCTCCTGCTCCAGCTCCAGCGCACTGCTCACAAATTAAATATGTGCCTTTTTTTCTCTACTTTTAAAACTGTATGCAAACCTGCAAAATGTTCCCTGTGTCATTTAAACAATGCCGACCCAACTGCGGAAACACGCTATCTTATCTGCTCCGCACAGGTCCCCACATGGGGCAGTGCACAATTAGTCCAATAAACAACTATCAAGATTGCGTCTAAATGTGATAGTGACAGCACGTTATGGATCGAGGCTATTTGTGATGCTGTAAGGTGGCCTATATGTTGTGCAGCTTGGTCAGTGCGCATATTAAATTGCATTTATCTGGATAAAAGTGTTGCCATAGTCGCATTTTAGTGAACACCTTTTTGCGCATATCACCAGTACGCACAGAGTAACTTTTTGGGAATTAATTATTAATCATTAATGGGAGCCATGATGTTGTTTGAAAGTCTAAAGCATCAAATATTTGAATTTATTTACCAGTTTTGGTGTTAATATGAACATGCTCATGCGTTTTTACGCACGGAATTGTACCCAATATTATTACAGCGTCATGTTTTTACTGGTGGATTGATGTGGGAATAGGTGCCATTAAATATTGATCACTAACAATCTTTAATTTAAAGGAAAGTGGCACAAAATCAGTTTGCATCAGACCTTTTTGGATGGCTAAATACTGTCATGTTTGTTGAATTGTGCAGTTATTGATATTGTGTTGAATGTCATGGGGCCTACTGTAAAGAGACTTTTCCACTGCTCCGCTCTCTCCATGTGCTGCTGGCTATCTGCCTTACTGATAAAAGGTTTTGCATTTAGACAAATATATGAGCCTGCCACATAGTCCAAGATTACAAATCACAAGCAACAAGGCTAGTTTTTTCTTTTGTTAATGTGGTCAGGGTAAAACTTGTGTAAACATTTGGCAGAGCTTGAAGAAGGCATTATACCCGCAGCCATTCAAATAGGTCTGCTTGCCTTTGCAGCTGGAAGGAAGCCAGCAGGCAGTTAACATTTGCTGATGACAAAGTGAAACATTATAGCACGGTACAATATTTGAATTGTTAATCTCCCCTGTCCATACACACGGTCACCTGCATGTACACATGGACAACACACACAGACACTCACACTCACTTGCAGAGGGGTGTGAGTTACGATACATGAGACTACAGTCATTCCTCAGCCACTAACCTACAGTGCAAACATCAGCCCTGTAACTCCAACATAAACTGAGCCTAGGGCTGTATTTAAGCGTAAACCGTACCTTAAATTAGCCTGTTAATAAAGTTAGGGCTGGCTAAAGGGTTGGGTATGGCACACACACACATATATGCACACACACAGTAGCTGCTGCAGATGTATATTTAAGATCACAATGAGACCTGGCTCTCAGGTCTTGTAGCGTTAACACAATGAACTTCACTAGCTGTCATGATTAAGCGAGCGTAGGGGTTGCTGGCCTGCTACGAAGCAGGTTTGGGTTTCAAGGGCAGAATCGTATAACATTGTCATTACTAAAGTAACAGCTGTGACTAAGATGTAAAGTGACATATTATCTGTGCTGCGCTGCCGCTACTACACATAACTGTTGAATAATGATACAGGAGCTTCATGTGACGTTCTGGCGATAGTTCATCCTTTGTGGCGGGATGGAGCTGACCCCCTGGAGTAGCTCTGTGTGAGCAGGTGTTAGCTGGGAAGCTTGCAATCATGATTCAAAAAAGATATTTCTTGCATTTCACAGCTATATTGGAGTCACTGAACGCATGGTTTTAATGTCTCTTGGCAGAATGTTTAACAGGAAATTGAAAAGATGATTGTAAGTGACAGATTTTTGCATTTTTGAGGCTCAAAAGTCTTAAACCCTCTGAGTGAGGCCTCCAACAGAAGGTGCTGATTCAACATAATTTACACTTAAAACACACAGAATATACATGTGGTGTGTGTGAAACTCACTGGTGTGATTGTGCATCACTGTACAGTATCATACACAGCAACCAGGAAGTGAGCATAATGCTAAGTGGGACAGTCCGTATATAAAAGGCCAGCCCTTCCTGTTCTAGCGGTGTAAAGTCAGACACATCTATTTCTGACAGTGACTAGGCTCTGTGAGTATGACTTTGTGTATGTGTATGTGTGTGTGTGTGTGTGTGTGCATATAGAGTAGCTGCTACCTTAGTGGCAGCTAATGGGGATCCAAATAGAGGCTGAGTAGAATACCTGAAGGGGTTAATAACTGAGGAACGTAAAGAATGTGTAAGCTGAAACTGATTCGAAGTGATCGTCCACATTCAGCGTGATGATTGATTGATGGCTGCCAGGAATATGGATCGCACTGACAGGATGCGTCAATACCACCATTCCATGAACGCACTTGACCTTTGAATTTTAGGCAACGGTTTTCCCACAATTACACAGGAAACATCAACAAAATACAGCGTGAATTAAAAGATGTCTAACGTGCTTTATGCTTTGATTTCAAACCTAAATGAGGAGATTATGTAAGACAAAAATGCCATTGTGCCTTTCTACATTTCATTGTAAATTCCTTGATAAAACAACCTGTGCATCCACATTTCGGAACAATGCAAAGAACAACACATGAGAGAAGCATCGATTTGTTGTTTTTTATTTTTTTGTTTGCTATGAACCCCACGGCTCTGTTGCTCTTCTCAACTCCATCCAACTTGCATTGTCCTGCACTTGCACAATCACCGTGAGTCATCTTTACTTTTTTTTTTTTTCGCCCAAGATTTCTCCTAATCTTTTTGAAGCCGCTCTGTATCTTTCCTCGCTGAGTGGGAGGCTTGTTTGTTCAGCGTACACTCAGCTGTGTATACCAGCGCTGAAGGCCACTTCTTCGCAAATGCCTGTTTTAGCGAGAGACTATTTGTCAAATGCATTATGACTTGTGCATACCCCCAGGCAGAATCACTCCGGTGAAATGAAGTTGGATAGATTACTGTAGCTGTTCCACTTTCTCCTCATCCCTCTTCCCTCTAACAACACGGTGCCCAAGAGAGAGGCTCTCAAGTAATTATACTGTAGTTATTCTGTAGCTTTATAATCCAATGGTTTGCAGATGTTATTCTTTACATAGTTGCAGCCTGTTCCAAGTTACTGTACGTTATTTATATATGCTGAGGCCGTTTTCACCGCAGTGCAGAGCAAACACTCTATTGATGCACAGTTAGTGCAGCACAAGAAGTGATATCTCAATCAAAGCATTACTGTGTTTGACTGTATGTGTGCACGGTGCATACCTAATTGCTATTATACCTTGAGGCGAGATGTATGAAGCATGTTTAACAAGATAACCCTCCTCATTTGTACATTGATCCGCGTTTTCCCACGTGTTACACTTTGTAATGCCTCATTGTACATCTTCATGCGAGTGCGAGTAACAAGCAGCTGACATTTGTCCACCTAAAGAGCAACGAGGCCAGCTTTTTGCCGAGCACGTACCAACCCCCTTTTCAAGTGGTCCGCTCCATTTCCACCGCTATCCAAATCACTGTATTAGTCATGGGATACTTCAAAGTATGGACAGGCGAAAATATTTTCCGTGTTGAATTCTCAGAATGTGTTTTTTTTTTTCTCCCCATCTCTTCAAAACATGACCGTAATAGAAACAGGAAAAAAAAAGAGAAAAAGTAAAGAGTTATTCCAGCAGTACCTCATTCTGTACACAGAGAAAAGTTAATTACATGGAGGCAAGCATTCTTGGGTCGACAGCGTGGACTTGGGGTTTTTCATTGTGCCCATTCATAACATTCTGCTGACTGGCCAGTCCAACTTGCAATATCCCAACCGTTCTCACTGGGAAAATGTTAACCCATGCATGGCTCTAATGCACACCAGAGGGGAAAAACGCAGGCTAAAGCTGCTGGAACTGGGAATACTCAAAGTGGCCAGTTTATTGTTCTAATGCAGTTCCAGCCAGTTTAACTCAGAGCAAATAGCAGATAACATAAAATGGAGTCGTGGAATGAACATTATTATTTATTTTTTGTGTATAAAAAACCCTTACTTTGTGAAGTTTTTTTGTGTCAAACCACTTCCTGGCACTATTCATAATCAAGTCTTTCTGTCCCCCCCCCCTCTCTGTGTCTAACTTCTTCTCTCATTTACCTTCCCAGCAGCAATGTCAAAAGGTTATGGAGGGAAGCCGGATCGCCTGGGGCTGATTGTGTCTTTGAGTTAATGATAAGTAGCTACAGTGTTATTCTCTGGAGCAGTCGGGCTTAGATTGTGCTCTGCGCGCAGACTATTACAGTAGGAGAGGAGTGCACTATTTACGACTTTCTGTTTTTGATCACTTGTGTAAAACCACAAGACAGCAGAGTACAGTATGAGTGCATTTTTTTTAATAGAATCAGATGGATAAAATGTGGATGGCTGCACAGTGCACACCTCCCTTGTAGTCTGTTTATGTTTATTCACCTGTGTTACAACATAGGAGAAATCCCCACATAGGTGCCACCACATCAGTGACACTGTAGTTTCTATTCTGCAGCTACACCTGCGTAGGATTTCCTGGGGTATTTGAGGACGACAACTGACTGTTTAGAGAAGAGGCGAGAGGATACGGGTAGTGTCCACAACAGGGATTTACCACCCTGGACTTCAGTTTAACCTACAGAATAG